TGGAGCATCATTTGCATGTGTATGGCTGGGCACTGCATGTCTTGCTCTGATCCCACCCTTCATTTTCCCAATCATTAGGCACTGCCTAGTGCAGGGAGTTTAGCAGATTGCTGCTGATAGAGCAGCAGTGCCAAGCAGATCCAATGATTCCTGGGCAACCCCACTGCTGCAGTCAGCTGCCAGAGAAGCAGAGCTGGGAGCAGGTGAAGTTGGCCCCACTGCTGCAGTCAGCTGCCAGAGAAGTAGACCTGATTGCCAGGCTGCCCCAACTGATAGCCTCTCCAACACACATGGTCTAATCCAGTGATACGAGTTGCAAGAGCGCTGCAAGTTCCAGTCCCACCCCCGGAATTGCTGGGCATTTTTAATGTGCACAATATTACCCCCCAAAAAAATCAAAATGGTTTTACCAATCTCTTTTAAATGTTAAATGAAATGTATTAACAGTAAGTCTAATACTTAACATCTCTTTTAAATGTTAAATGAAATGTATTAACAGTAATTCTAATACTTAACTAACTGCTTAATATTTTACATCCCTAGAACATACTAGTAGGGTAAGTTTTAAAAATGCAAATCAGACTAAAAATGCTTCTGTCTCACAAATGTCAATATATGGAACAGCTAAGTCACTTTGTACAGCATTAGAAAACATATCTAGCTACCTGAAAGAGGAAGACATCATCAGGTACCATTGTTTTTGTGTTTCTCATTCTAACATTTTTAACTCAGATACTGCAGTCATCTGCCCAGCATGACTGAGGGTGTTTCAAAGTCAAATAACGGGAAGAGGTCTTTACCTTATGTACACATGTTGCTTTAAAATACATTGAAATCTCAAGCTATATGCTGCAAGTTTGTAACTAATACCTATATGCTGAAGTATGTGATCTGATATTCAGAATGCTAATTATATTACAAAATAAATTAAGTAATTTACCTGAAGTTTAAGACAGTAATACACAAAAGTCTAAAAATAGAATTAATTAATACAATGACTATAATCAAATTGCATGCCTCAGGGTTTCAGCTGGTTGTCTACTGGTCTCAGGAAAAAATATCCTCCCTGATTGAATTGACCTTGTTATCCCTTGCCTTCCTCTTGATTGGTATTCCCTTCTTTTCATGTGCCTGTATATTATACCTGCCTCTGGAATTTCCACTACATGCATCTGAGGAAGTGGGTCTTTGCCCATGAAAGCTTATGCTCCAATAAATCTGTTAGTCTATAAGGTGCCACAGGACTTCTATGCAGATTCAGACTAACACGGCTGCCCCTCTGATAATGGATAGGGTGGATCAGCGCGCTGAGATGATACAGCAAATTTTCTCTCTTACATGCCTGGCTAAAGTGTCTTGTTCAGGGTCAAACTGATGACCCCAAATCTGGTTAAGAAGGAATTTTGCTTTCCAGTTAACTTAACGAACCTTGAGGAGTTTTTACCTCTATCTGCAGCATGGGAAGTGGATCACCTACTAGGATCTGTGCATCTTACATAATCAATTCCCTGCCATTGCAGGGGCTTCAAGCACTATGGCATTTCATTCTTTCCTGTGCTTTGTCACAACTTAGGGGTGTGTCTAAACTACATGGCTCCCTCGATGGAGCCATGTAGATTAGACAGATAGGCAAAGGCAAATGAAGCCGCGATTTAAATGATTGCGGCTTCATTTAAATTTACATGGCTGCCGTGCTGAGCCGACAAACAGCTGATTAGCTGTTTGTCGG